GAAGTGGGCTCCGTCTCCCTCTCCACCCCAGGGAGAGGAGTGGACAGGGGTGCCCTCTAGTCGTCCCCTGACTGGGTGCCTTCTCAGACAAGAACTAGCCGAATGCCCACCTGGATGGCCGAATGCTCACCCTCTCCATGTTATTTGCTTGTCTGTGCTCAGTTACAACAGCACTGCCTTTTCAGACCCCACAGGGACAGACCACCTGCCTGGCCCTCCTCCCTCACATCTCCCCCCAGGATCCCACCTCGGATGGAAGTTTCTGTATGGAGGGTGACCATCCTTAGCGCCAGGGATATAATCTCCCCCTGGGCTTTGGGCAGGTCAGTGGATAAGAGGTTCCGAAGATCACGTTTGAGTAAGTTTGAGGTATTAAAACACAAAATTTAATCGAGTAAATTTGAAGATCTATTTGGCCTTATTAAGCGATTCATGAACGGGGCAGCATCCCACCTCGCAACTAAAAAGGTGACCCGAACGGCTGTTGAAAATGGAAGGACTTTATAGGAAGAAAGGTGGGGCAAGGGAGCAATTGACAAAAGACAAGAAAGGATTTTTTGAGGCTGGGACACTTATTCTTTGAGGGGAGAGGAGAGGAAGGGGTTTTTGCAGATGGCCTCTTTCCATGAGGCATGGAGAAGGCCCATGTGACAGATTACCTTACTGACACTTGGCCAGAAATCCCAGACTGCTTGATGAAAATGCCATTTCGAGGAGAGGCGAAAATTGCAGTTAGATAGACTAATGGTTCTAGGTTTGGGATCATGGGAACATTAGTGTGATATCGGTTGTCGATTTTGGCATTATGTACTGCAAGGACAACAATGACAACAAAATGTGAAGCCGGTTGGGGGGCTTGGGGAGAATAATTTATAGCTGTTCACTAAATGCATCAAGTGCCAGTACATCGATCAGTACACTGCAACACTGTGAGTGAGTGTGTGTGTTTCAAGCAAGGTAAATATGAATGATGAACTGTTCCATGAAATTGAAAAATCAATCCATCTGTCAATCCATCAGTCATTCCATAACCACCACATTGTACAGCTTCCTTTGGCCATTCTAAAACAAAACAAAACAAAACAGACAATTCTCTTTTACAGGAGCGAATAGAGACGCTGTGACGTTGACAGAGGGAGAGACACATGGATCGTAGATCAACAGAACAAAACGGAGACCTGAACAAATATGCCCAAGGCCGAGGGAACATCCAGAAGCCATATGGACAACTTCTCCATGCATGCACAGTCCTCCTCGTTTTGCAGGGAAGCGCAGGATTGTAAAAGGACTGCATAAACTGAAACTGAAAATAGCAGTGTTATATAATCCATGTGAGAAAAAAAAATTTTTTTCCACAACATTCAAAGCTTTGGGTCAAAACATAAAAATCTCTCTTATTCTGAATTTAAAAGGTATGTGACAAAAATAGCAAGATACACATTCAATAGACTGTCACTGAGAAAGTGACTTTTTATTTACTTTTTTAAAATGTCACAATCTGTCTAACAGTGCTGGCCTTTACGCGGTATCTTCTAGACCTCACTGGATCATCCCAGTCTTCCATAAGTTTAGATCACCTTCCAACACATCATTCTTTGTGTTTCCCATATCGTTCCATGTCTCTCTGAGGTCCTCCGAGGTGAACATTTTCACCACGGTCATTCCCCTGTGATGGATCATCTCATCCTCCTAGACTTTGAGAGACTAGCCTATGCAAGTCCCCGTGGTCACACATCCAGTCTCTCACAAGGTGGCGGTGTTGTCACACCCATACTCATCTACCTTCTGATCACGTCTAAATTCATGTCTAGCGTAAGCACTTTTCATTTTTGTGTGTAATTTCACCTCTCTTCAACAATGTTCTCTTTTGATTATCCCTTTTGGGGAAGACATGAGTAGATGACCCACACACACACACTTTGCTCTGTGTGTGTGAGAGAGAGAGACAAAGAGAGAGACCCAAGTAACAGGTACGCACTGAGCGATCTCTGACAGGGTTTGAAGATCAGTTTCTGATCCTGACGTGCAGTTATTTAGGTACTGATTGCAGACTAAACGGACGGCAGCAAACTTTGTACTTCATGCAGTTACAGTGCATACACTGTGGAATGTTGGCAAACGTGCTAAAGCAATTCATGGGATAGCCTCTCCGTCAAATGGGAATAGAATCATCAGACATCCACAGGCAAAACATGCATGCAAGCAAGCAAACACTCGAAATGGATCATATGCTCGCTCTAGTGTAAAACGGAAAACTAGACGACCCCTTGGGAAGGAGGAGGCGTGGGGGAAAGTCTCAGAAAAATTTGGGATTTAGAGCCAGGCAGAGATTTTAAGACTTGACATCAGAAGCATGATCCAAAAGGAGAAACAAAGATATCAGAAGTTGTCAAAACTAAAAACAGAAGCTCTGTGAAATACCCTCTGAAGAGGGTAAAGCGACCAAGGAAAGAGGCGCCTTCGAACTGCAGCAGCAGTATTGTCTTAGGGGGAAAAAATGCAAAACAGACCAAAGACATAGAACAGGCATTTCACCAGAGAAGATGAGAGTGGGGAATACTGATGGATGGCGAAAAAATCCCATGAAAAGATGAGCCAGTGGTTTCCCGGGAATGCCAATGAACATCACAGTGAGATGGGTGGGGATCTCAAGACAGCCACAAGACAGTCAGGATGCCTTAAACAAAATCCAGATGGGGAACAGTATCAAAACGCTGGTGAGGTCAGGCCGTGGAAAAACTGAGTAACTCACACATCACACTGGTGGTGACGTAAAACAGTACAGCTGCTCTGGAAAACGGTGTGGTAGTTTCCAAAAACACAAACTTATGAGAATGACAAAAATTTGCAAGTACCGCATGATTTGGAAAACTCAGCCCACAGATTGTGCCTTAGAGGGTCGACCCAGCAGATCTGGGATATTTAGAACTTGCACTTTCCATAGAAAGGTCTGACCTGCCTAGCTCCTGGGAAGAAACGGCTAGGCCCTTGGAATGTCCTGCCTGATAAGAGTGTCTATCTTTTTAGCTGGGAGTTTTGGGTAGTTCAGACTCAGAGCTCTTCACTCCCCCACTATCCTATCAACATCTCGAACCAGAGTGGTACGTTGGTTACAGTACATGAATCTTCATTGATACATCGTGATCACCCAGAGTCTGGAGTTTACATCTGTGCTCATTCTCAGTATTGTACAGTCTATGGATTTTGACAAATGTATTTCACCATATTAGTATTGTACAGAATACGTAGTTTCACTGTTTTAAAATCTTTCTTTGCTCCACTTATTCACCATCACTGACACCATGATAGCGAGGCCCGAGCTAACCACTTCCTAGGATGGTTGAAAGTTACTCACTTCCCCTTTCAGCCTGCCAAGCAATCAAAATACATTTTCCTTATATAGAAAGAACATGCAAGTCTGTAACTATGAGGAAGTATAAGATGTGTATAAAAGGGAAAGCCCGGCTGCGATTGGGGCTCAGCCTTTGGATGTGAATCCGCTGAGCCGGTGCCAGCACCAATGAACGCTACTTCCTGCTCATTGCCTCACTGTCCCGTCTCTCTGTCCAAATATCCTGCAACACCACCACTACTACCACCACCACCACCACCCACACCTACACACACACACACACACACACACACTCCCTAACCCGCAACCCCCAGCAACTCACTGATCTACATTTTTACCCTCTCCATAGTTTTGCCTTTTCCAGAATGTCTTATTAGTTGGAACCACGGGGTCTGTGACCTTTTTAGACAGACTTCTTTCACATGGTCATGTGCATTTAAGGTTCCCCGCCTGCCCGGGCATGGCTTCCAATAGCGCTCTCTTTTTTTTTAGCACCGGTCAACGTACATTCCGTCACCTGGATGAACCAAAGTCTATGTGTTCATTAGTGAAAGGTGAACATATTTATTGTAAACACAGAGAAAAGAACTAGTCCTGAACATACATGTGAAGAGAAGATGATTGGTGAACTAAAGTGCTTGCGGAGGGAAAGGTGATGAGAGCCAAACCTGAAACAGGACTTTCATCCCCAAGAGAAACTAGTGGAATAAAGTATGAGTTGATTCTCTTCTAACGAAAGAAAACAAACCGTAAAACAACCCTCTCCTCAACCAGCACGCAGGCCCTCCTGTGGGGGTAGTGCTGACACACTCCATAGGAGTAAATTCAGAGTAGGGTATTTAAGTAGAAAAAAAGACACTGGGTTTTCTTTAAGATGAGTAATACCTGATAAAACTCTAGATAAACACATTTACCTAAATTAAGAATAAAGTACATTTTGCAACATAAGAATGAATCGGGTTATTTTCAAAGTGCAGTAATTAAGTCAATGAAGCAAAAAATCCCCTTCAAACTCTAGATAAAATTCAACTATTGAAACCTAAGTTATGTGACAACAGACCCACAGGTGAAATCATAGATGGTATCCCATCTTATTCTCTTAATTTCATCACAATAACTCTGGTCAAAGACCTTAGAAGATTCTCTGACAGGTGAAACATCAAATTTTCAAGACGCAGCCTTGTCTTTCTCATTCTTTCTCTCCTATTTAAGAAGAATGAGCCCTGAGTATAAAATGTCCATGCATCATTTACGAAGAGTTTCCATTTTTAATTGAAATGAATATTGATGATATGGGCAGTTTAAGTGTCAAAGAAACATGCTGGAGTATAACTGTTATTGTAAAACTGCCCACAAACCAGGAAGGTGAACTTACTCTACAGTGAGACACACAGTCCTTGTTAAATGCTCTTTAGGAGCAGTCCTGAGTAGACACTAGACATTGAGTCATGAATAATCCTTGTGGGAAAAAAAGGGGGAGATGGGGCATACGAAACCTGACAAGCCCAGGGGAGATCAGCATGGAGGGCCCTACAAACTGAGACCCAAAGTAACCATATAGGACGGTCTGCACATAAAAATTCCTATCTAAAAGCAGCTCATGATGGTTGGTCACACCAGGGCCTGTAGCTTTCTTGACAAAGGTCAAGCTTTACCCTAGGTGAGCCATGCTGGCCTTCCCTGAACTTGTCAGTGTTAGTATGTGGCCTTTTTTCCGTCCAGAGTAATGTGCAATGTCTTTAGTTATTTGCAAGTAAACTGGTTTTTTTGCCATGAAGAGTCATGTATGTTACATTAAGAAAATTATTCAGACTCTCAGCTGCATTTTTCCAAATAATAACATAAAAAACGTTTCTCGGGGTCGCCTGGCACCGGCAGCGCCACGGGAGATTGCTCCCCGAAGTGCAGACCTCGCGCTGCTAAGATGCAGAACCGCGATCTCCACGGCAAGAGACGGGAACGGCGCAGGCCCCGCTCCCACTTCTGGGATCCTGACTTCCCCCACCCTACGTCTCCGGATCCGCCCCCTGGCTGCGCTCCACCAGTCTCGCTCTCGCTGGGCACTGCCCTCTCCTCTGAAGTAGTCTCGCTTCCCCGACATGTTCTGTTTGCGACACTGTCGTGTCAGAGCACGCTTTACGGCCGCGGGAACGGAACGGGCCTGCGGCAGGGCCACTCCAGCCGCGAAGCAGGGCAGGCGAGCGAGGTGGATGCCCGGCGGCGGGGCGAGCGCGACGTCTGCCCGGCTTCTCACTGCTGCAGAGCAAAGAGGAACCCGAGAAGCATCGGGGGCGGCGTCCAGGAGCGGTCCGGGGGGCTCCGGCAGCAGCAGCAGAGTCGAAGCAGGCGGCCCCGCTCCGGGGAGTGGAGGCCCGGGGGGCCCCGCTGGCAGAATGAGCCTGACCCCGAAGGAACTCTCGAGCCTGCTGAGCATCATCTCGGAGGAGGCAGGCGGCGGTAGTACCTTCGAGGGCCTGTCCACAGCTTTCCACCACTATTTCAGCAAGGCCGACCACTTCCGCCTGGGTTCGGTGCTCGTAATGCTCCTGCAGCAGCCTGACCTGCTGCCCAGCGCCGCGCAGCGCCTCACGGCGCTCTACCTGCTCTGGGAGATGTACCGCACGGAGCCGCTCGCCGCTAATCCCTTCGCCGCCAGCTTCGCGCACCTTCTCAACCCCGCGCCGCCCGCCCGCGGCGGCCAGGAGCCTGACCGGCCACCGCTCTCAGGTAAGCGCCCCGGGCGGAGCCGCCTCCCGCCACCGCCGGCCCTTCCCTCCTCTCCTGAAGCCAGGTGTGCGTTGTGGATACTTACGTTCGTCGATTTTCCACCAGCGTTTCTAGGAATTCACCCGCAAGTGAAATGAAGTTTCCTTTAGAAATTCTCTCCGCCTCCCCAACTCTAAAGTATGAAGAAATGGTAGCTTAATTACAAATTCATGGCACCGAAAATTATTCCTCTCAATAGTACATGTAGGTCGTCACGTCGTGCAGCGCATTGAGGGGCTTGACATTTTTAGTATCTTAAATACAGTTCTTTCTTGTAAAGCCCATCTGATGGGTGTGTAATTGTAACTGATGACGCACTGGATCTGCCTTGATTTTAGGTCTCAGACGAGCAAGTAGAGGTCATTATTCAGAACCCGAAGAAGCTGTTGGGCATAAACACATTAAACAGCGTTTAAGGACTTTGCAGCCATCTTCGTTGGGCTGTTAGGTGCCCTTGGATAATGTGATGGGAGCAAATGATAGAAGGTAGTCTCAAATTCACCGCCTAGGTCAGAAAACGCATAACTACTGGACATTATGTAAAACGTGTGCAGCATTGGTGAGATTAGATCAATGGTTTGATGTCTTTTATTTTTTTTTAACTCAAGCAAGAGATGCTTTATGAGACGTTGGGAGACTTGCAGCCAGGAGAGGAGAAAGGTGCAGAGGGGATGTTGATAATAAGGGTATCTGGGAGTGTAGTGGGGGAAAACAGGTGGGCAGAGGTGGGAAACAGCTTGATCTTACAATACTTAACCTGTGGGGGAAAAGGGGCAAATCACTCTATATGGAAGGGCCACATATATAGGGAGTCAAAAGGTTGTAAGGCAGCTGGTTTTGAGGTAATACCAATAGTGAGTTTTGTGGCACAGGAGGGCTTCTATATTTTAAGCTAGTTGGTGGTCCTGCCAGACAAACTTCTGGGTCTAGAGCATCTTCTGGTTTGTTTTCTGCACTGCCCTTATCTAAGAGAGGCAACCTTTGTGTTGGCTGAGATGCCTTTAGGGTACAGGTACTGAACCTGGCTTTCAGGAAGTTTGGGAATACCTAGAAAGTGAATGCAACATGTGTATTGAGTGGTCAAAACCCTAGCAGAGGATGGGGACAGTGTGGGGTTTAGGTCACAGAGCCCTTTGAAGTCTTTGGACAAGTTAGACAAAAGAACCCTGATTTATACACTGCCATTCTCAAATGCAGTGAGTCTAAACCTAGATCTAGACTATAGACTTCATTGTAAACACAAATTTGCCAGGGAAGGAATCCATGGATGGGTTATTTTACCTCTCTGTGCCTGTTTCTTTGTAAAATGCAGATAATTTCTAACTGGTAGAGTTATTATGTAAATAAATCCCTCATAAGTGTTACCTATTATCATTACTTTCATTAAAGTAGGTACAGATGGTGCTTAAATACACAACAGGAGAATATCAATGGCAAGGCTTATATTGTACACCTAGGGTGAGGATCTAATGGGTATATTTTTTCAAGTTTTTCAGATGATTCTGATGCTGAGCCAGGGTTGAGAATGTATCTGGGACTAAATAAGGCTTCCTTGCACTCGAGAAACTTGCAGGCTGGTTGGGAAGACGTAAACATAGTCATAACACAGTGTGGTAAGAGCTGTATGAGATGTCACATACGAAAGGCTTAGCAGCACAGAGGAACAACTACCTACGTGTAACTGGAGAGAGTCTCCAGAGGAGTGATGTTTTTGCTCAATATTGGTAAGAGCTGGTGGTAGGGAAGAAAGTGTGGCCCTGCCAGGTATTCTTAAAGAATTTGGTGTATTGGGTGTTTTGAAATCTGGAATCAGAAAAGCTGAGATTTTGTGCAGCTGGAGTGTAGGATACATGGATGGTGGGGGAATTCAAGAGATGAGATTAAGAAACTGGGTCAGGACCAGATTATGAAGGGTTTTATAATGGTGCAGAAGTTTGGGTTTAATTCCGTGTAAACAGGTTAAGTATTGTGAGCAGATGTGTACCTAGAAATATAACTAAGTGGTAAATGGACATGTCGACTGTGGGTAGTAGGTGGGGCAGGGGTCAAAACTGGGAGCTGCAGAAACCAGGAAGTGTTGCAGGGCTACACTTGAATGGAATGCTTTTCCAATTTAAGAGGAAAGAGGGGAGAGGGAATGGCAATGAGAGAATGGAGTCTGGTGACATTGCTGCAGTAGGATGGATGAGGCTCGGTGAGCAACTGAACATGGGACAAAAAGGAGGCAACATTCAGCAGTTGTACTAAAGCAGGTATGTGAAGTATATTTGCATTGCTAGTGACTCTTGCCTCTTCAACCTCTACAGTTACAGCAGCAAAGAAAGAAAAGCATTTCTGAGCACTATAGTGTTTTGTTTTTGATGGCACTTGTAAGCTTTAGCCTTTGCAGGAACTGAGGCACGTTAAAAACAAAGTTCTTTTAGTATACGTGCTGCCGAAGCAAGCACAAAAACAAGTTCTTAATAGTTACAAAAACCTCATTTCATTGATGTTGCCACAAGTCATAGGAATTCAAGTGACATGTTTAATTACATTTTCAAAAATGTGAATTATAATTGAAACCTTGTCTTTAAGATATGTGAATTGAAATGGCAAGTAGCAAATGCTAATTTTACCAGATTCATGTTAATTCCTAAAAATAACCACTGGAGTAATCATTGTACATCTTTCTTTGTAGGATTTTTACCTCCTATAACTCCACCAGAAAAGTTTTTTCTTTCCCAGCTGATGCTGGCACCTCCAAGGGAGCTCTTTAAAAAGACACCTCGACAGATTGCGTTGATGGACGTTGGAAACATGGGCCAGTCTGTGGACATTAGCGGGCTTCAGCTGGCCTTGGCTGGTAAGGAGGAATCGATGGTTTGGGCATTCTTGTGTGATAGCAGTAGGCCTTTTTTCTTGAAGTACTCCACTTAAAATGACGGTCTTGGTACCTGCAAAAAGGTTAGTACCTTCCATGAAAAATGTAGCTTTAGTACTGGATCCTTGCTAATATGGCATATAAATCCATTTTTAGTTTTCACTTGAATGGAATGCTTTTCCAATTTAAGAAGAATGTTTTAGAAGGATTTAGTCTGTTTAAAAAATAAAATTTTCCTGATGTCAGTTTTTCTCAAAGTGAGATCACAGATTCAATGCAATTCTTATCAAAATCCCAACAGTGTGCATTATAGAAATAGAAAAACCCATCATAAAATTCTTATGGAATCTCAAGGGACTCTGAATAGCCAAAACAATATTCTCTTGGCACCCTTGTTGAAAATCATTTGACTGGGTTTATATCTCGTCTATGTTCCATATCATGGTTTATATGTCTGTCTTTATTCTGGTACCATACTTTTGAAGATGATAGGTTTTTAGTTAAGTTTTGAAATCAGGAAGTGTGAGGCCTCCACTTGATTCTTGTGTTTCAAGATTGTTTTGGCACCTTCTGTGTTACACATATAAGCAAATGGATGCACTTGAAGCAAAAGCGTGTCATGATAGAAAGTAGGGGACTTTTGCTTTCTAAGCAAAGATAACAGATGTTTGATCTTATTACTTGAGAATTATTTATTAGGGAAATTCTGATAGCCATTTGTGAACCCTTGACCTTGTGACTAAATGAACTGCAGTATTAATTTTGACAGTGCCCCATTTTTAGACTTAATGTACCTGTAACATTTAGCTGTTTATATAAGGTGACATCTTTTAATGAACTACTTTTTCCTTGGAGCATTTTGAACCTCACTTTTTAACTAGTGGGCATTAAAATAACAATGGTTATTTTCAAAACCAAGAGAAATCTTTTTAAAACTTTTAAGATTGCAGGTACACTAAAGTACTTGTTAGCCACTAGTGCCAGATACAATCTATTAACAGAAATGAAATGATTATTTCCTTAACCAAAGTATGAAAACTGGGTACAGAAGTGATAGGCACTTTCAGTCGCCTTACCTTCAGAAGCAGTGTGTATTCTGAGTTTAGCTTTGTATTTTCCTAAAGTGAAAATCAAATCTGACCTTTCAACTTATGACTTGAGTCAGCCTGTGAGAAAATTTTAAAGTATATCAAGCTCAGTCAGAAAGGAATATATGACTAGTTAGGATTGAGAAGCTTGGCATAGTGGTTAAACTTGCTGCCTGCTGTCCCCTATCTATTATTGATGTCCCACTCCATTCATTTCACAAGTGCAAGAAAGATACTCCTATCTTCTCTGGAGCTAGCTATACAGATCATCTCTGCAGAGGCCTGAAATTCTGATCTTACAGTGAGATCCATAAACCAAAAGTGTGGTTGTGTGTGTCTGTGTCAATATGTGTGTGTGTGTGTACACTCTATATTTTCTTTATCCATTTCATTGATAGAAACTTGTTTCCATGGGAGTGCAAGTGTTTTTGAATTAGTGTTTCATTTTCTTTGAAACTGCTTTATTATATGGTGGTTCCATTTTTAATTTCTTGAAGAACCTCCATACTGTTTTCCATAGTGCCTACATTATTTTACATTCCTGTCAACACTACACAAGGGTTCCCTTTCCTTTATGTCCTTAACAGCCTTTATCGTTTATTGTCTTTTTGATAATAGCCATTCCGACAGGTGAAGTGGTATCTCATTGTGGTTCTGATTCGCATTTCCCTGATAGTGATGTAGAGCAACTTTTCATGTACCTATTGGCCATCTGTCTGTCTTCTTTGGAAAAATATCTTCTCACTTTTAAATTGGTTTTTTTTTGGCTATTGAGTTGTATGAACGTATATATTCCATATAGTTGGATACCACGCTCCTTATCCCTTCTGTTGATGGGCATAACACGGCTATGAAGAATCTTGTATATTCTTCTGGTGTATATGTAAAAGTGTTTCTTCTAGGTGGAAAGATAGCACATGTAAAACTTTACTAGGTAAAGGCAAATTGTTTCCAAAGTTGCTGTGCCATTTTTCATTCCCATCAACAGTGTGTTACCCGACAACCTCCTTTGCATTTGATGTTAGCCAGTCTGGTGGGTGTGTAGTAATATCTTGTTTTAACTTTTTTTTTCCTGGTTCCTAATGGAATTGAAATTTTTCAGATGTTTATTGGCCATTCAAGTTTCTAAATAAAATGTCTAGCCCATTTTTTCCTATTTTTAAAAATTGACTTGTAGGAGTTTTGAAAAATATGCATATCCTGAATCTGGCCCTTTGCTTATTTGTTGCAGATAGCTTTCCTGTTAGGTTCTTTACACTGTCCTTGTGTCCTCAATTTTCAAATCTCTATTTTAACTTCCAGAACGCCAGTCTGAATTGCCAACCCAAAGTAAGGCTAGCTTCCCTAGTATTCTCAGTGACCCAGACCCAGATTCTTCTAATTCTGGATTTGACAGCTCTGTTGCCTCCCAGATCACGGAAGCTTTAGTCAGTGGACCAAAGCCGCCGATTGAAAGTAGGTATATATTTTATACTCTTGGTTTTATCAGCATCCTGAGACTTCTTGGTTTTCTGATATATCATGTTATTTTCATTGTTGCTTAAACTAGAATTTAATGAGAAACTTCTTAACAGTGTCTATAATATAGTGGAGATGCTCAGTAAGTTATTTAATAAAATTACCAAGTTTTTATTACATATTATCAGCATATCTGAAGATATAAATTCTGATTTTATAGAAAAACTATTTTTATAGCTCATTACATACCACTGTCATCACCTCCTCCATTGTAACTTTACTCCTTATAGCTCTTAATTTACTTTAATTCAAACAAAATGCCTATTGAACTTTAAGTAATACAGCCACAACTTGGTTTCATAGGCTTCTGTGGTTTTAATGATTAAGCCATGCTTTCTGCTTAGGGAAAAGAACATGTTCTTCAGATTATAGTGTCATCATAACTTTAAAACTCACACTGACTTTTTATGCCACTTACAGTAGATCTTTGGCATAAATAATTGGGTTTTATATTTGAAGTTTCTGCTGGTCACGGGTATGCCCAAAGATCCATGGTACATACTAGCTTTTATTTAACACCTGGTCAGGCGCAGCTTTGACTTGCATGGGCCCACAGAAAGGTACATGAAAAGCAAATCAATCAGATACTGAGTCTAAACACCAGGCATCCCTACCTCATGGGAACTTTATCTTAACACGTAAGTGCATATGAAGTGTTAAAGATTTTTGTAAATGATCTGAAAAGAGAATCAGATGCTAGTTTCTGGTGATGTAAGTGAAGAGATAATGTAGTTTAAGACAAACTATTGATTCTTAGCCAGAAAACAAGACCTTTTCAATAAACTGGAGTAGAATTTCAGATTTGGCAGGACCTAGGGTCCATGATAGGAATGAGCCATCTTAGGCCCTATGTGGAAACCAAAGAAAGCAAGGTGTGAAATTTGTTCAGAAGTCCCAGCAGCATTTATTTTGGTGAGTTTATAACTGGCTTGTATGGAATAGTTGAGGTGTTGAATCCCTTCATTTTCCTGTATACTTTCACTGTTTTATGAAAATTAATATGGCATTTGGGAATTTACAGATTTATGAAAGTCTCCAGATTGATCAAGAATGTCAGAAGTTACTCATGTTGTTTTCTCCACCCCGCCACTTCAGTTTTAAGATGCAAAGATAGAACTGATACAAATCATAGTGGTACCTGAATAAAATAGTGGCAACTAAGAATAGGATGAGTGAGATCAAAAGTATTACATTTTCCCCATAGACTCACCAGTACAGCAGGTTGTGTCCTGCTATTGGGAGGAGATGCTGCTTGAATTAAACATTGGCATATCACGGTAATACTTTCCTCAAAAACACATAGATTCAGTATCTGGCATTTTGTTAGTGTTTCGTTTTCTTGACTGTATTCTAAATAAAACTCTTATCATTTCTGCTTCTGGTTTTGAAGTCTGAGTTTTTTATATTTTTATTGAAAGGGTATTTGTGTACTTCATCAAGCATGAGATGGATACAGTGTACACAGGTGTTAGCTTCCTGATAGAAGCAAATATTACTACTTTCATTTATAGGCCACTTTCGGCCAGAGTTTATTCGTCCCCCACCTCCACTCCACATCTGTGAGGATGAGCTGGCATGGCTAAATCCAACAGAGCCTGACCATTCGATTCAGTGGGACAAATCAATGTGTGTTAAGAATAGCACGGGTGTAGAGATCAAGCGAATAATGGCCAAAGCCTTCAAAAGCCCCTTATCTTCTCCTCAACAAACACAGGTATGTATTTATTACAAACCTTTTCTTTAATGCATTGTTGTTTTTTTTAATGTGATGAATGACCAATTAAATGATACTATTACCATGAGCCAGCAGCAGTATGTTTTTTGGACCCAGTGTCTCTGGATCTCTGTTCTGTCCTTCTCACTCAGCTGGGGTTAAGTATCTGATGACTGAAACATACTCATGCTCAGTTTGAGATGAGCTAGACTCAGAGAGGCAAGGCAGTATGGGTCTCACTTTTTTTGGTAATCTGCCCCTATGCACCAGCTGGACACTTCACTTAAGTTAGACCATAACTCTCCTGAGGGTAAGCAGGTTTAACAACATTTGATGGAGGAAATAGGCTCAGGTAAGGTAAAGAAGCCCCCATCACACCGCTGGTTAATGCTAGATTTGAGTCAAAATAGCCCCTGCTGCCCAACTAGAAGACTCTGCTGAGGACCCCTGTGGGTGATTTCTGGTTGGTGAGTTATAGTAATTCAGTTTGCATACTTTCACATTAGAACTTGTTAGGAGATGGTGACAGCTCCAAATCCACTTTACCACCAAAAAATATTTTCAAAGTCAAAAGCTATGTTCATAGTTCACTTTGTTTATTAGACCATCCTGAAACAGTCCACTGTGATAGAGGAAAGAACAGAAAATTTTAAAGGAAAAGTACTATTTTGGCAGAAAAATTTGTTTTTGAGGATCCTATTTTAATTACAAAGTGAGACTGTGACCTAAACCAGAAAGTAGTACAAACTGATGAGCTGCAGGGTCAGATCTCCCTCTTCCCCACCTGGGCTGGGTGGGGCTGTTGTTTCCGGTTCCCGTGGTCTGTGCTGCTTGGGAGAACTAATTGGTAATTAAGATTGTTTATAGTTATAACATGACAGAAAAACCTGCCAAGGTTTGATGATGTTACAATCCAGACAATATTCTGTCCAACCAGACAAAACCGAGTCTGGTATAATGCCCAGAGGGAATCACTGCATATTTATAAATTGCCCTGAAAGTGTTGATATTTTAATATCTTTACAATTCAAAGTAAACTGAAAAATGACAAGTCATTAATGATCATGGGTTTGAAAGAAATTTATGAATTTGGTTCAATCCAGACAGTTTTGTAACTTTTTGTATAAAATATGTATTTTTGTATGCAGGAAAGAGATGTCTAATTTAACTCAAGAACCTCTTTCTTTTTTAAAAAATTTGATTACATATTTAGCTCCTTGGTGAGTTGGAAAAAGACCCCAAACTTGTTTATCATATTGGCCTCACTCCAGCCAAACTTCCTGACCTAGTGGAAAACAACCCTTTGGTCGCCATAGAAATGTTGCTGAAGTTAATGCAGTCGAGCCAGATCACCGAGTACTTTTCAGTCCTGGTCAATATGGACATGTCTTTACATTCGATGGAAGTTGTAAATCGGTAAGTTTTTGTACTTGATCAAATGTGGGAGTAAAACTAGCAACAGTTTTTTTTCTGATATCATTAGCCTGAGAAAACCCATTAATCAGAGCCTTAGTGTTCACTGCATGTGAATTTAGCATCCACTAATAAGAACAGAGGGCAAGATTTCAAATATTTAGTGTTAATAAATGCTGACTTAATTGAATCTTAATTGTCAAAATTTCTATATGGTTGTACATTCTTTACCTGTCTGCAAATACAGATGCTACATTTGTTTTTGTTAGTGACTAACAGCTTATCATGGGAAAGTAGGGGTTTTCGGAGCTGAGAGAATTCTAGGAGTGTCATGCAGGTATCCCTGCACTCTCCCCCACCTTGGACTTGGTCTCCTGACTCTTGCCATCGACTCTCGTAACAGTGCATTCTCTTTGTGGTGGGAATATTTCATATTTTCCTTACAAATATGTTTTAGGTAAATTATGAATAGACTTGGGTTTTCTTAAGTTGTTTATATACATATATACATTCATATATACATACATATATACATACGTGTATGTGTCTGTATGTCCAGGTTTGCCTGAGGTAGTCAGTCCCAGGTAGACTCATCTTGGCTTTCCTTCCATGCGATACTATATTGTTTATACAGTCCCACTATGTGGGGAAGCCCATTCTGACGGGCAGGTAGCTGAACTTCAATGAAAGCTCATCTTTTGAACTCTCGTTTATAAAATTGGAGATCATTTTTCTTAACCTACTTGAAGCTGTACTAAAGAACACATCCTTTTAAGTTAGTCAGCAGGTGAAAAAAAGTCTGGCTGGAAGCCAGTGATCCCAAGTATGTGCGTTCTTTTTGGGTTGGGAGAGGGAGGAAGTGTGTGGCTTTCAACTTTATGTTCAGTCACTGGCAAAACTGGGTGTTCTGTTCCTGTCCTTCTGGTTGGCCGAGGAGCTCTCAGAGCTCACTTCCCCTCACTACATTCTTGTAGCAGTTTGTCTTCAACTGCTGCATCTTTTTATCAGTAATTTCAAGGACAAGGTCTACTCTCCGTGGGACCCCCATCATACATCACCCTCAAGTGTGAAATGTATGGTGTGACCCCAGCAGCCTATGTATGGCAGTGTTCCCTGGAGCACTGTTCCACTAGGCCTACAGTGCCTTAAAGGAAAAAGTTGGAGTCAAGTAAGCTTAGAATTCTGGAAAATTCATATGGTATAGTTAGCATATCTTGAGCATGGAATTCTCACTTCATCTTTTTTTTTCCCACTTAAAATATTCCATAGAAGCCTTTGAAAAATACAGCTTCCCCTTCCCTCCGAGACTCTAAATTAATTGCCCACCATACCATGCCTTTTGTTACATGCCAGCCAGGTCTTTCCCACCATGTATGCCATGCTATCACCAATTCCAAGCTTTACTCAGATCGTTTACTTCTCTCCCAGTGAGGGCCAATTTAAGTCATTTGCCCTTTTAAAGCTTTCCCCAAATCTTTTCACTACATTATTATTCTTGTTGCAAATGCCCCATTTTACCATTTAGTTATATATTGTACTGTTTACTTACACCTCCTTCAGACACTCCGCCTTCCATTTAGCACTTACATGTAATTGGGAATGAACAGAATTATTGCCAAGGTTATTAGAGCTTGGAAGATAATAACTGAATTATGATTCAGTCAAGAACATACAGGGACTTGGTGCTCAAAAATACTGCCTAATGTTAAGTATAGACTTAAAAAATGGAAGTATCTTTAACCAATGGGTGTGTATCTCTTAGGTTTATTTGCATAATAAGTATATTTAAAACTAAGTAATTGGTTATGTGTCAGAAATTTGTTCTAACTTTCTAACTTTATGAAACAGACTAACTACAGCTGTTGATCTACCTCCTGAATTTATTCACCTTTATATATCAAATTGCATCTCTACTTGTGAACAAATTAAGGATAAATACATGCAGGTAAGTTATAGAAATTTTTGTAAATTTTATAAATACCTGCCATGAAAATGGGCACACTAAGTTTTCTTCTTTTTCAGAATCGTTTGGTACGTCTCGTGTGTGTCTTTCTTCAATCCTTGATCCGTAACAAGATTATTAATGTGCAAGACTTGTTTATAGAAGTACAGGCCTTCTGTATCGAGTTCAGTAGGATACGAGAAGCTGCTGGCCTCTTCCGGTTGTTGAAGACATTGGATACTGGGGAACCACCTTCTGAGACCAAAATGTCGAAATAATACCTCATCTCATTGGAACCACCTATTCATTGTTCAGCCGTACTGTGATTTAATTTTGAAAACTGTAAAAACCCTAAGTGGATTGCTTGGTGTCGTGATATAAACAACACTAGCTAGCTACCTAAAGCAAAGTTTTGCTTTCCTGGATGACTTTTTCCTTTACAAAAATTTTTAGTAAGAACTTGGAAAAATTGTCTTTTAGGTGTCTCGCTGATGATTATCCATAGAAAAGTCTTTCTCACTAAAGAGCAAGGTGCCTGTTTCTATTTAAAACACAAAGTCTTCCGATAAGAATCCAGTTTTGCTAGGTTCCAATGTTAAATGTGTTTAATGAGAGTAAATGAAGATATTCTTGAGAATTTGCTATACTGCCCTTGAGGTGAAATCAGTTGAATGTTTTTGAATCATCGAGTGGCATACTGAAATTTCAGCCTTGAACCCATTTATGCACATAGCTCTTAACTTCTCATTAAGCAGAGTTTGAACCAAAGGACAGACATCCCTGTAACCTTATCTTTTCTTGTCATGGGGACACTTAATAGACAATAGAATGCCTTTCTTGGGCCTTCAATAAACATGAGAACTCTTAGAAACCTTTTTTGAGGCTGTAACAGCTGGTATAGTTTTCTGGGTTTTCTTGAAATGTTCATTAGTTCTGTTATTCATTTAAGATAGTCATTTTTTGTTTGAAGGACAAATAATAGTGCTTTGGGAAGTAATGTCATCACTGAGGAACAGTCATGTAAAGTTGCTTGCAGAGTGGGATGTGTGCCCTTCTGCCTGTGGGGCACATGAGCTGTTTGAGTAGGAGAGCAAGAGAGCTTCATGTGGGCCATTAGCCCTCATTTAGCTTTGGACAACAGTGCCTTATATTAAAGTTGTTTTTATAAACTATTTTCTGATGGTATTTTTTTCTTGAAGAAATGAAATGCCTCATTTGCTAAGGTATTTTCAAAGTATATACTTTATAGGGAAATAATCTGTTCAACAGGAATTACCATCCAGTCCAATTCTCAGCAAAAATTCAAGAAAACCAAGCCTCGTGGGTTTGCATACAAGTTTCAAGCTTGTAATTTGGGTGGAAAAGCAGTACTCTTAGGTTTATAATAAATTTTCTTATGTATCCTTATGAAAGTAAGGAATCTGATTACAGGAAATAAGGACCCAAACTGGTATAAAAGGAGTGCCTTCGCCCATCTAAGATGATGACAAATTTGATTTCTCTCAGTACTGAAAGTGGGGATTGCTGTTCTGCATATTACCATTGGGGGAAAAGTTCACTATTCAAATACTTTCTGGGATAGTAGTTTCAACCACACCACTGCTGGGAGTAACCCAGCCTCAGGCTCTAGGACCCACAACTCTGATAGTCCGAAACTCTTGCCTGAAAGAGACTCAACCAACACATATTTCCTTTGGGAGGTATGTCACAGCTTTGCACTTAAAATAGTAGACAGCACTTAACTAGGGGACCATTTTAAATGGAAATCACCAACAAAAAGTACAAAATTTCAGAAAATATGGCACTGAAGAGACCATGAAAAGGACATGTGCTGACAGTCTGAGAGCTAAAACAAGACTCTTATTCAGCCTCAAGTGGGACACATGCCAGGCCACTCAGAATCATCGCTGCTCTACATGTCTATAACAGACGTGCAAGCACTGACCTCAGGGTTACAAGCCAACTTTAGTGGGCAAATTTGCAAAAACAGACAGTTCTGCTTATCATTTCAAGATCACAGTATTGGTGTTTACCTGAAGGCTCAAATTTATTTTAAATAAACTACTTACAAAGAATAGTAAATTTTAGAAAACATTACATATACATATATATGAAAAAACCTGAGTCATGATTTACATTTAGAACACCAGAGAAAGTCTTCATTAAACGTGTTTAAAAGTGGAAGAAAGTTTACCTGAAGTACAAGAAACTATGATCCTGGGATTCAGTATCTGCAATCAACTTTATAGTGCACTCAGACAACTTCAACTTGATTGTCGTTAAAATGCATCTTGAATTCTCTGGATTTTCTAGTTTCAATTTCTAGCTTTAATATCTGTAAATCACCTGTTAAAAAGGAGAAAGCACTAAGTAATAGGATAGAAAAGAGAAGCTACTTCAAAAGAATATTTGGAATCCTAAAATATACCTATTCCAAATAATTCCCTTTGTGGTTAGACAATTTTAAAGAAATGGTATCACTTTATTCTTAGCATACATATACATTTTTACAAAATTTTAAGCAGCATGCACCACTTTCATTGTTATTACTTTTCCATGGAGAATGATGGATCACATACCTATTTTAAATGATATTTTGAGTGATATACCTTTAAGATAACATTTTAAGGATATCTATATAACATGCATGGGAGGAACTTTTTACATATTTGTTAAATTCTTGCACCCTCTACCTAAGACATTTTGCTGATTTCACTTTCTATCTGGTCTGTATCTGGTCTGTCTGCTTTGTATGCAGTCACTATTCTCAGGAAGATCCCTAAGATGCTGCCAAAAGCACTTACATAATCTTGGGATTCAGTTAACTGCAAACAGCTCAAGGCAGTAATGCTGCTCCCAAGTTTCTCATTAGCCCATAATACGCAGCCTACAACTCAAAAGAATGGATTGACTTAATTATATTTTTACATTAATGCAAATACTTTTTTCAACTCATTTTATACTTTGCTGTTGGAATAAGGGTAAATTTCTAATGCTGCATTACACTGTATAAATTGCACTTTTATAACTAGTAATACATGTATTAATATTTTTGAAAAACATGTTTTTTAAAACTTTTTAAGAACTGGGAAAGGTATAGCTAGCTGGCTTTTCTAATTAACTGCTGCCATCACAGAAGCACAAAATATGTTATACCACAATACTAGCTCTGGTTTAGGACATCTTGTGCTTCATAAATCACAAAGGGATTACACTGCATGCGAAGAAATGGCTTTTAACCAACATGTGTACTTACCTCAAGTTCCAGTTAGTAATAGATATGCACTGATTTAATCTCAACCTTCACCGAGCAAATAAGCTTTAAATGTGCTCAAAATAAGAAACTGTTACTGACTCAGCTATCTTACCTGGGAAATTAGGTTACACTGGGAATTCCATCCCAATGGGAACACACCTGTTCTTGAAGGTCTATTATTTTTTATTGTCTTTATGACCCCCACAGTCTTCGTTGCAGCAAGTACAGCATAAAGTATGCACAGAGGCATTTACTACTTGTTTGTGGCCCAGTGGTATCCAAGGGTCAGATTGTTTTTTCTTAAAAATATCTAAGCATTCTTTGAGGATGCCTTTCTTAGAAAGCTTCCCAAGGTACAAAGCTTCAATCCCGGTGTTACTGAGGTCAGACCAATGGTTCGCTTCAGGAGCTTTTGTCATCGTGCACCCACAGAGAGAGCAAACTGCTGCTGGGCACACTGCAATTCGGCCTTTTATTGTCATCATTCCTCAGTAACCATAGGGAGCCAGCTTTCCGCAAAGGCTCTGTAGAGTCGAGATCCCTAAAAACGGCATTCAAGGAATCTTACCTGGCACAACTTGCTGTTTCCACCTCTCCTCCGGATCCTTCCTGGTTTTCTGGCAGAAGACCCAGAAGCAGCAGACTACATACCGAGTACTACATGTTCAGCATATGCTGCCTCTTTCACATGCTGTTTGCAAACTTTCATAGTTTAAAAAACAAAAACCAAAAAAAGTGTTTCTACATTATTTGTGAACAAATAGCTTTTATGACCATTGTTAAAACGAATATGATTGCTGCCATAAATAATCTTAAGTAAATCTAATTTAGTATACACGTTCTTCATTTATATTCTCTGTTCCCAGCATGTCGACGACTTTTTCTTAGCAAAAATTCTGGTAATATTTGATTCTTTATCATATTTCCATCTTAAACCTATCAATGGAAAACTTTTCCCTTTTAAAGACTGAAGAGTTTTCTATCTCCTGCTAATTTCTTTTTCTGCTATTAAAGACTTGTGTTTCTAGAAATTAAACTATAATTCTTCCAATCTCTTCTATTTATAATTTAGTGTCCAAACTTTTGAATTAAGGAAAGCTATATTTGACAGCCCCTGATTAAGAAATCAGTTATGTAATTATCAAAAACAACTGACCTTGATCTATCATAGTATTTAAAAGTCAGTTTCATTGGCTGCTGGGAAGAACTGTTAATTAAAGCATTTCTCCCAAGGATGTTTCTTAAAATACAAAGAAGCCAACAACCTACTTGGTATAAAATCAAGGACCTATGTTCCTATTCGCAGTGAACCACAGAAGGCTAAATTCAAAGATAATGGCTATTACGGAAACCTACTTTGAGGTTGTGTTTAAATGAGAGCTCAAAGACAAATTTTCTCTTCTGATAGCTCCACAAACTGAATCTGTCCACAGAGTTTATTTACTTCAGTAAAACTGTTTACTTACCAAGTATTTCACTATGAGTGGCTACAATCTAAGTATGGTAAATAGTTTGAAAAAAATAATCTCTAACAACTGTATATCCTAGATACAACTATAAGAATAAATTCTTTAAAATTTTTTTTCAATAAACATTTATTTTTACCAACAAAATAAAAATATACAGTAACTGGTTTAGAATCAACACAGGACTACAATTTCAAGTTCTAAAAAAGTTAACTCTCAACAGAAAAAGGGAGGGTGGGGGATGTTTACTTAATCACTTTATAAACTTAGTGGTCTCCAGAAAGCTAGCTTTACATTAGCCTGGTCCTTTCACCTACAAGAACAGCAAACCTAAGTAGGAAGGACAGGTGATTAAACAAGCTCAGCGTCATTAAGTTTGCTTTAAAATTAATCGAGAAAATGTTTACTTATTTTGTTACAACAACAATCAAAATTATAAACATTAAATTGCGATTGGAACCATATATTCATCATTTACAAAGAAAAAAAAAATCAGTCTGCCTACTCAATTTCCTTAACAAAGCAACGAAGAACTTAATGCTCGTGTAAAATACAGAATCTTCACATTTTCATTTGTAGAAAAAATGAACAAATTTCCATCCCCATCAAGGTATCATAAGAAATTAATGAAAGGGGAAAATGTAAACCCTAAAGTTATCTAATGCTCTTCTGCTAATTCCAAAGAGAAAACAATGAAGACGTGTTCTCAGGTTTCGAAACCTCTCTATATAATACCAAGGTGCAAGAAAGCTGTAGGTTTCTCTCATCTCATTTACAAGAAAAGTCTTTCCTCCAGGGAAAACTGAATTTACACAATTTCACTTCAACCAGTCTAAATTCTGTGTGCTTAGTCTAAAACCATCCTTGAGAGACAGAATCTCATTTATACAGTACCATAGTAGCTAGTCTAGTATTTAGAAACAGCACCCATCCTTTCTTAGGCATGCCGTCCCCAGTTGTCAACTCTGTAATGGTCTGAAACAACGTATTGTTTATCGTAAACATATTTTAGTAGATAAATATATAAAGACTAATCAAAAAGTCTCTTTCAGAATAAAATATTTTAGCTTTTTTTTTTATCAAATCGAAACCTGAAAGGTAAAAGAATGTACATTATTTTCAAATATACAAACTATATGCTGAAGTAAAAAAAATAGAATGTCCTTTAATTCAAAGCTCTGTCCGTGCCGCGTCAGAGGGAAGTGCGCTAAGAGACTGGTCCCCCATGCTGAAGGTCGCTCCTGCCTGTTTCTACAACAAAGCAACAAAAGCCAGCGTTAGCCAGTTGGCATATTCTGCACTTCAATTAAACATCGTTGCTCATTTGGAGACTGTATTTCAAGAAATTACAGAAAAATTTAAGTAAAACATACAGGTAAAAATGACAACGCATTGTGTATAGTCAAGAAAAGTATATAAACATCCTTCTCACATACACTATGTTTTCCAGTATTAGTCTAATCAATATTAATCTGATCAGCATGGTGCTATAAAAAAAAGATGCAGTCTGCATTGGTGATGTTAGACTATATTTTCAAAGGTAAGACTAGTAGCTGTGGTGATGATGATAGTGTCACCACCCATGAATACAAGAGCTAGCATTTATTGGGCAATACAGATCGACCCAACGAGGTAAAGACTGTATGCTATCTCCATTTTACAAATGAGGCACAGAGAGGTTAAAGTATCTTAGAAAGGAACTGATATTCTAATCCAGACAGTCTTGATATTACTAAGGAATAAGAAAATAATTTCAGCACAAAAGGTTTCCTATAGTAATAAGATACTTCCTTAAATGCAGGAGAACAAAATTCTTTGAACGCACATACATTAGAGCTCAATACAAGGCCAACTGGATAATGGAAGGGACACTGACCAGATAAACACATTCTCCAGTGATTTTGTAACCTGGCTTCTTTTTCCACACCTTCATTTCTACCCCCTATTTGAAATTTATTGTCTTAGTTCTAAGAGGGCATTTGAGGAAAGACACTGACAAAATGACATATTAATGCACTACGGGTAACAAGAATGCAGGAAAATCTAGAGGCTGCTTTTGAAGGATGTTTCATCAGGATGAGAGAGTTTCATCTGTCTTTAAGTATCCCAAGAGTGGTCAAGTACTAGAGAAAACAAATTTCAATTTCTTTTTTTTTCTAGAGACTGAAGGCAAAAGCAAAAATTAGATCAGTATGCTGAATGAATACAATTGAATTTCTAAAAATAAGGTGTGTCCAAATGGAAGGCAATGCTGTGTAAGGAAGGATGTGTTTGGGGCAGGGAGACTCCCCCTCCCCCACACGTAGTCCCAGCAGGAGGCCAGAGCCCTGGTTAGGACAATGCCTGCAAAGGACCAACCTCCCAGCTTTCTAATTCCCTGAGTCTAGTCTCTCTTTCTTTCACAATGCTGTCTTTCCTCCTTTGGTACCCACTTAAAACTTAAGCTCTAATATTTCTATCTTTGCCTCATAGATCCTAAACACATAAAAAATGAGAACTGGATTCAGTTTGAAAATTATAGATTTGGAAAAATATACTTCCTGTTCCAGGATGGCTAATTTAAAAATCAGAAGAATCAAAAATTTGTAAAATAATCTGTACATGAATTCAATTATAATAAAAATTCTGATAGGACTTTCTTTTACTTAAAACATGATTTTAAAATTAATCTTGAAAATGCAGAAAAATCCAGAAATTATTTTAAAAGAATAAAGATAAAGGAATTTGCATTGTTTTACAAATATCAAAACATTATTCACAAATAATTGTTATTTGCTAAACAATATTAGGACAACTGGTTAAATATTTGGGAAAAAATTGGTTAGTTAAATCTCTTAAATTATGTGGATTAAAGATTTAAGTGTAAAAATACAAAACCACAAATATTAGCAAAACAAATTAATATTTTTATAATCCTGAAATGAGAAAGGTTTTCCTAAGTTAGCATGCTATCAAAGGCAAAATCATGGAAGAATGAGAAGTTGAACTAAATAAAAATTTTAAATTTCTAGCTAAGCAAAATACATCAGCAAGTCAAAGATACAGAAATCAGGATGGGGTGTGTGTATAATACAATATAAAGTCCAAAGTGCTCTCAGAATCAGTATAAAAAAAGGATGAAATGGGCAACTCAAAAAGAACAAACGACCAATAAATATGAAAAAAGGTAATCTCATCAGTTATGAAAAAAAAAAAAAAAAATGCAATTCACCAAGCATCCTGGGATTCTCCAAACTCTGAAGTGCCCAAATTGGACTAGACACTTGTTTTAAAAAATGGGTTTAAAAAAATTAAAGCAAATATTAATAAGAAAAAAAAAATTATCATAGGTTCTTTAAAAAACTTCCCAAAGGGATCATTGCTTTGCTCTTTATGCGTATTCTGTAAACTATAATTCAGGTCGGGAAGGCTGTGATAGAATGATAGAAGACAATTAGACAAGTGGTAAACAAATATGAATAATGATTTAGAAGTGTCACTGATAATAAAAGTCCATCAACAGGGTTTAGTTTAAAGAAATAACCACAGTAAATCCAAAATGTAATACTATGTAGCTATACAAAATCATGTATCTATTGATACAGGAAGAACTTCATACACTGAGAAATAGGTGACCTAATAGCACATAAAATGACATTCTCTCCATCCTTAAACAGAAAAAAGCTAAAAAGATATTTATTGAAATGTTAAAATGGTATTTCCAGGTGTAAGATTATGATTTTCATTTTTGTTTTTTTTCTACATGTTATTTATTTTCTTTCAACAACTGATAACATGAGTTCGTTTTATAATCTGCAGGCTACTTACCTAGTAAGGCTGTGTTTTCACCTGAATCTTCCTTAAACCTGGTACCGCACTGTGCTACGGGTTCATTAGTGGAGGACAATGGTGAGTTGCTCCCGTCACTTCTGTCATCTTCTTGGACAGCAATACTCAAATCTGCAGCCACAACACTCCCAGGGGCCAATTCTGGAACAGGCATCTCCTGCCCGTCCTCAAGCTCTCCCTTGAGTTAGAACAAAAGAAACTGTCTAAGTAATACAATCAAAGCTTATCTATCATCTTTTGCTCATAATTCATATAAAATGTTTACTTTTATACCCAGAATATGGCAAAAAGTATACTGATGTCTTCATTTGACATCAGAAAATGAATTACTTCTGAACAAGCAGCTTTCTAAGACCTAAACGTTTTTTATTTTAAAAACTATTTTTCCCCTTGATAAAAGCAATGCCACCTTTTAAACTATTTGTTGACAGAAGTGGAGCTTTGTTCCAAACACCATCCCACCTTCCTGAACAGAGGCTGGGACTCAGCCTGGCTGTCTTGTCTGCTGACCACTTCCAGCCTTAGCCATGAGTTCTAATCACTGCCTCCAACGCTGTCCTTTCTCAAAGCGAGGCAGGCACTAGGGTTTCAGAGATGAATGAGGTTTCTAAACAACCCAAGGCTTCAGAATGGATTCTGGTTCACTTAAAAACATCAGTTCATCAGCTGTCAGTTTGCCTCTACTGCCCCCTCTCACACTTGCTGCTTTAAAGAGGAAAAAACTAAAAGGGCCAAGACTCTTTGACCATTACTACATTAGGTCTCAAAATTTGTGGGCTATCCAGAAACCTTGTTTGGTTAATGCCAGAGTCAAAGCTGTGTGAGGTTAGATGAACCCACTGGTAACACGACCTTCAAAACAAGGGGTCTGGGAAGCTTGACAGACTGAGACGGTCGCCTTTGCTTCAAGTGAGAACGCTGCACAGGCATGACCCCTGTCCTCTGGGCTAAGGGCACTGCTGGTCAGCTGTTCCCACGGCAGCTCCAGCCATGTCCTAGTACCCTTACCTCCCCAATAGCACATGGCACGCTGCTGCCTTCTTGTCAGTAACCAAACAGTATCAGAACGTGACTCCTGGCACACCCAGCAACAAATCCTGGTGAGCTGACGTAACATCCACATTCGCTCAGCCCACCCTAATCAGTTGACCCAAGCAGTTTACATAAATACCTGCCAAAATTAACTACCTGCCAGTCTCAAACCTCACATGGTCACACCCCTGTGGATACATTCTCAATCTATAACATACTCATCTGTGAGGCAAACCCTTTAACATCTAGCTAGCATGCCCCTCTAAAAACCACTCCCTGTCTCATCCCATGTCCACTCAGCAGAGTACATCTTTCCTCTGTTCTCATAGCCTCTCTCACCGTGCTACGTTTGGGCAGACACTCTGGTCCCCACCAGTCCAGACAGTGAAATCCCCAGGGGTCTGAGAGTAGAAGGACTGTGTCTTATTCATCTGTCTCCCCAGAGCCAAGTTCAGAGCCAGCATCAGGGACAGCATTCCTCTGATAAGTGCTTGCCAAATGAAAACAACATGTGACAAACAGCACATCAAAGTGGTTAGAGCTGCAAAGGAAAGGACCACCTTTGCTATCTCTGTGAAGGGGTGCTGGTGGCTCTCCCACAGAGGCCATTTTCTTGGCAATGAAAACTAGTTTTAGTCACTAAATGAGTGTGTGTCATAACTATAAAATCCAACAAAGAAGGAGCCAATGGATCTAAAGAAAATAGTATATTTGTCAAAAGATTTTTAAAAATTAAAGGCAAGACAGGCCAATTACTTAACTTGATTTAAAGTTACTACAGGTTTCTGTTCTTCAAAAAAGAAATTAAGCTTTCTGGGGAGATATATTCTAGCATTCTGAAATTAACATTCTAAGAAAGCAACCCAACCTTAAGTAAAATGAAGAATCCCTTAAGAAGTACAAATTGGTAATTACGAAATAGTCATGGGGATGAAAAGTATGGCTCAGGAAATATAGTCACTAATATTGTAATAACTATGTATAGTGCCAGGTGGGTCCTAGACTTATCAGGGGGTTTACTTTATAAGTTATAAAATGTCTAACACCTGAAACCAATATTAAATGTCAACTATAATTGGAAAAAATTTTAAATTTTTTTAATTAAATGAAGAATCTTGATTTTAACATATGAAATATACATGTAGATCAAAGTGTCTCAATGCTAATCAGTGCAATTCTTTTTATGCAAATTTTCAGAAATGCAAAGCAAATTTAAAGTTCATGACTAATGAAGAAAAACTTAAAATGAGCTTCAGAGTATATCTAAGAGAAAGGAGAAGAAGGAAAACTTGGCCAAGAAGATATCTGTTAAGCTGCCTGGATTCTGCTGTTTAAATGCTGTCCCAGAGAGCTGCATCCGCTTGTCTGGAGCAGAGTAGAAGAGCCCAGTCCATAAGAAGGCATGTTACAAACTAAACGAAGCCATCATTATTAAAAACTAATAAGTGAATATTAGAAATTTTAGAGGAAAGACAATCTAGATAACAAAGCAAATGAGTTTTCAGTAAGGCAGTTCTCGAATGCTGACCTCCCCGCTTTCTGTGTACCTATGGTGAGGGCATTCCAGAACTCACACTTAAAAAATACAATTCACAGGTAACCACAGCAGTTATTAATTAGAGCTGTGGTCTTGAAACCACCTCAGCAGATATGCTAAGCTAGAGGGTGGGAACACTAAGATCTGCAGCCCTCACGGCCATTATGGCTTTAAGTTGCATAAAATGATCATAAAAAAACCTCTCTGCAGTTTCTAACTCTATAATACTACCAAAAACTCTAGCAAGAAGAAAAGTATATTTTATATTTACATTAGGTCTTTCAAAGATCTTTATTCCAAAACTATTTACTATTTAATCAAGAATATTTTGAGACATTAATAGATTATATGAAGACTCTAAAACAATAAAAAATATAACAATCTAGGAGAAAATCTATTTTCATCCCTCTATGTCCCCCTTTATGGGTAAGGTAGTATTTAAGAGCTTGGACCCTGGAATTAAGCAAACTTGTGTCTGAAAGCCAAATCCCCTCTAACTAGCTGTGACCTTGGGTAAGCAATTTAGCATCTCTTACATGGGAGTTTCTCATCAGTGACAGGGACAGCAGTACTTACCTCACAGAGAGCTGTGAGAAGCAAACGTCGTGATGCTCATACGGCACTCAGCACATGGCTGGCTACTACTCTGTGCTCTCTCCCACTTTGCCCTGTTTGTTTTCTGAACAAGGCCCTATGACCATCTGAGTATCAAACTGATGGAGTAAATTCAATGCAGGATAAATTTCCCCAGCACTACTTAATTCTAAAACCCAGGAATTGGGAGAACTGGTATCAGGAATTGTCGGCTTAGGCTTCCTCATATATATAGAAGATGTACACCTTGAGTCAGAAATGTCTGAGGCTCCTTCCATTTCAAACATTTTATAATTCCTCTTTATAGGAGGAGACTGACTAGCACATATATGTTCTGCAAAGCATTGTACCAAAATATAGTGCTCCGAGTAATTAAAAACTGAAGAAACATCTAGCATATTATTCTACAATCACAAATTTAGTTCATTAATTTTTTGGAATTTCTAAAGAATTCATTTTTAATAAAGAGGAAAATTTCTTCAGGAACCACAAGGATGTCAGAACTATTTAGCCCATCCCTCTTGCCTCTGGTCAGTAATGAAATTTTATCTCTCAGGAAGAACGGGGGCAGACTGAATGAATATAAACAAAAATGTAACAAACCCAATATCCCAGGGCTTTGATGACATCAAGTTTACACATTGGACACGTGCGGTGATCCAAAAGCCATGGGTCAATGCATATTCTATGAAAAATATGCCTAAAAAAATTAAGTATGTGTTAATGTTTTAAAATAAATGTTTATATCTTATAAAGGAAATAACACATTCTATCAACTTATCTTTTCATTACAAATTAAATAACGTCAAATCAACATTCTAGTTCTATTCACTTACCCTAAATACTTATCTATTCTATTTTCTACATTAGACTCGTAAAGAGTAATTTCCCCTTTGTTCCACAAAAATAGCGAGTTTTATTTTTGCCTCATGCTAGGTTGTATTTTTATGTGCTTTTGACACTCTTTTGGGAACAAATATGGCATAAGTAAACCAACGGTAAACTAATAGGAATAAAGTAATATTAAACTGATAGCATCTTATACAAGTCCATCAAATGGCTCAAATGGAAATACAGCAAAACATTAACAAATCATCTTTGGGTTGCAGGCTTAAAAAAATTTATATTCTGTCTTATGTATTTTTGTATACTCTAAATTTTTCTATAATGAACACCTATCCCTTTCAGAATCAAAAAAAAGAAAAATCATTTATGTATTTTCTTCTTTTAATGATTTGTCTAATTGGCTCTTATGTGACAAAATTGAGGAGCTAAGAGTTCGGGTATTGGAGCCAGGCAGATAGGGCTCAAATACCAGCTGTATGACTTGATGCTGTGACTCTGGACTAGTCCTTGACCTCTGCACCGACACCACAGGCTGTTCTGAGGAGCAAATGTATAATGTGCTGGGCACAGGAAATACTCAGTAGTTTATCACACAAAAATCTGCCAGAACAGTTAAAAATAACAGTACTTAAGTAACACAATACAGCCTAGTCCAGCTTCTCTTTTGACCTTTGCATTTTCAAACTGAAAGTAACTCACCAAAGGAATTATTTTATAAAAACATAAAAGAAATATGTTGGCATTACTGGAGAATTTGTTCAATAAAGCACAGGAGAAAAAGGGTGGGGAGCCAAAATCCCTAAGAAGGAGGCCAGAAAATGTGCACATGTCCCATATCTGCTCATGAAGGTCAAATACAAAACCCAAGTGAAATACAAAAATCAGGATATCTCTGATGCCAGGAATTTAGCCTCGAGTTGCCTCTTTTTTGCAGCATCCTAAACATTAAGTCAGAAAGATTTGCACCCTAAACCAGCCTAGAGTAAAAATTCTTTTCTATTTTAATAATTTCCTATAGGACATAATCGACCTATACTGACCCCAAGTCATTCATTAAGTACTCATCACACCAATGCCCTCTAAATACCTGTAGATTTAAGTTATATTTTTATTCGGGAAACTTTAATTTTGTTATTCTGATATTTATTCATTTCCTTCACAATTATTGAGAATGTAACCTACTATAAAGTACTTACACATATATTAAAGTACTTAGCAAACATCAAGCAAATATAATTATATATTTACTCAGAACTTGCTTCTACTTGGTGCGAAGTGTAATTAAAACTGATCGGACCTAAACATATTATAATTTTTGTACAGCCTACTGCTAACAAAGCAATTTTTAAAGTTATCGAATTCTCCATTAAAAAGGAAACGTAACTTCCTGTTGCTGGAAAAAAAAAAATCCTCTAACATACCTAGAGTAAGAGGAGGAATATTTATTTTACACAATCCCCAAAAGAACCTAAACCCAGGGAGCAAATAACAGCAAACCACTGCCTTCCCTGACCTACTTTCTGCCACCCTTTCTGGCCCTCTCACAATGCCTTCACCTGTCATGTTTCAGTTTCCTTGCTCCTTACACAGCACTCTTTTTAAAAAGCCAATCCATGACAAAGATATATAATGGGTCTCAATAGTCAATTACAGTTTCCTAAGCTAAGCAATTTATTTTTTTTAGGCGAGGCAACCCTTGGTTGACCTCACAGATTGCAAGGACCTTGTCACCTTACAATCCCTCATTTTTTAGGCCTACAGCATCTGGTCTTCCTAGGTGGTCTCCCATTCAAGTACTAACCTGGCCCGACCTTGCTTAGCTTCTGAGATCAGACAGGATCAGGCTTGTTCAGGATAGCATGGCCATAGACACAAAGCAATTTTAAAGCAGTATATAAATACAGGGGCCTTGAAGGCTGGAAATGTCTTTTCTAAAGGATGAGATCAACATGAGGTCATTACGATAGCAAGACTTTCATGTCATAAAGACATGAAAACCCTATTACTGGAAATCTGAAAGCTGTCAAGTAATGAGGTAACAAGAACATACTTGCATGGCAGAATTCTGATAACATCCTTTACTTTAAAATTTTCAATACACACTGCACAATTTTCAGCTTCAACATCGATTCCCTGTAAAAAGAAGAGGAAAGAGTTTACTTATCTGGGTGTATAGTATATCCTTGTTAAAACAATGATGAATTCTAGTCTACAATGGTACAACCTGAAAATAAAGTCACAATTTTTACTCAGTAGTTACTTTTTACCACTATCAAGAATATTTAAAGAACCTGGCTGAAAATTTTTAAAAATTTCATTGTCTAATCAGACATGAAAATTGTTTATGTACAAGGCTAGTGTTCATGTTTTAAGGGCTTTAGAAATGCAAATGCCTGCTTTACTATGATAAGTTATTTTTCAAATATAAAACTTATAGAGAGAATGAATGTCCAATAAGCTGCTTGTTTCCTGGAATTACCAAAAACAAAATCTAGAGCACGTTCATGAGAACTGGCTGAAGAACAGGTTACAACTTGCAAATGAGAAGATGCAAATGGCTAAGCATCTGAAAATATTCACCTTCTTATGACAAAAATTACAAATTAAGTTACAGATTTTCACCTATCAAATTAACAAAGGTAAAAAGAAACAAAAATTATAGGGAAGGAAGCAGTCTTGGGACAAAATTTCCACTTCTAAGAACCTATGGTTTATAGACCTTTTTGGGGGGCAACTCCCACTTTCTTGCATACCCCCTAGATCTATCTACCTGACCACATCCCATCAACCAAAGCAGGCAGGGCCAGAGTGGTCAGCTGACCAAGACAGGCCAATGAAATTCTCATTCTCAGGATTCTACAGATGGCTACAACTCTAGCAAGATAATTTTATGGAACTTGGCTATACCATATGTACATAATTATTAAAAAAAATATATTTAGCCATGTGCTTGACTTGTTAACAAGCCAGCAATCAAGAATGATTTTATAGACTGTTATCAAAGATTATATTAAATGAACTTGATAACACTTAAAATTATATTGTAACTAAAGTAAATATCACTCATTTATCATATGCCATGCAAGAGTGATAAAATAACTTTTAAAGTCCCTGATAGTTTGCAAGCTTATATATTACTGTGAATGTATAAGAAGAAAAATTAGAATACTAGTTTCTAGAACTGGACAAGATGAAGATGTAAGAAAAATAACACTTTTCTGTATAAGTTTAAAATATAAAATCATCAGAAAATCCATGTTTATACTTCATGGACCATTTATGAATCCTCTTTTTTAAGCCATTAATTTGATAGCTTTTAAAAAAGTCTGTGGAAGCAGATTTTCAAAAATGTTCTGTATAGGAAGAGAATAGTATCAATTTATGTATATTCTGAAAGACTCAATTCAGTATATTATACATATGAATCTACGAATTCTTACATTTAAGAACTGTGATTTGCTGATAATGGAGAGTAGAAGACCCATTCAAGAGGAACATAAAACTACATGCTTGTTAAGTCACTGGCTATGCAGAATGCATGCAGTTCGTCACAGGAATTCACTGGAGACTCTCTCTCCCCCTGGATCTTTGATTTGTAAATTGGATGAGAACCTTAACCCATAAGATGGGAAACTTTAAAAACTTTTGGTGCATGTGCATGGAAAGACACCTTGTACAAACTATTAAAACTCAACTGTTACTACAATGCATTAGGGAAAGGATGGCAGCCAACAATACAATTCCAGGAGTATCTTAATATTAAAGCTATCACATAAACCATTAATATCAGATTCCAAAGTTTTCAAATCAAAGGTTTATAAATTAATGTGTTTAGTAGATGAGAGGAAGTGATATCTACCATAAGTGCAGTTTTGTTTTTTTTTTTGAAGGGAGACTAGAAGACAGAATACAGTGTGGTTCAAAAAAAGTGAGATAAAATGAATTATCAAAATCACTGAACCAAACTATAGCTATGTCAACACAGTTGTCATAGTTCGTGGCGAGATGCACTATTAAAAGAATAAACACTACTGTGTTAGCTACTCCTCTCATTTTAAGGAATCTACTCTCTAATGCTTGAGGGCCTCCCGCCATCATGAACAACACGTTATCTATCCATACCAGGAATTTCATGACCAATAGGCTACTTCAATGGAAACAAATGATCATCAACATCCTTCATCCTGGAAAGGCAACAGTACTTAAGACAGAAATTTGGGAAAAATTAGCCAAAAATGTACAAGATCACACCAGATGTCATCTTCATATTTGGATTCTGAACCCATTTCGGTGGTGGCCAACCAGTTGTGGCATGATTTATAATTCCTTGGATTATGCAAAGAGAAATGAACCCAAACATAGACTTGTAGGACATGGCCTGTATGAGAAGAGGAAGACCTCAAGAAAACAGCGAAAGGAACGGAAGAACAGAATGAAGAAAGTTAGGGGGACTACAAAGGCCAGTGTTGGTACTGGCAAAAAGTGAGGTGGAAAATGGGCAACAGAAGAAATAAAGATTCGTTCAGTGACATCCGTGGTGATCAGATTTTTCATCAGAGGATTAATAAACTGAGAACTCTAAAACAATGTTTCTTTTGTAAAAAAAAAAAAAAAAAAAGTATCTTTAAAAACATCTTTTCTCTCCTCCACAAATCCCAATATCTTCTATTAATTAAGGGCCTCAGAAAAAAAGGACATGTCTCAGATTCAACAGAGAAGAATTTAAATTTTCAAGGGTCTGTGGTGGAGACCTTAAGTTCTTTATCTTCTTTTATGTCATCGGGTCTGACCAACAGGTAGAACTTTCTTCGATAACAGACATATCAGCCCAGTCCAGGATGGTAGGAACCAGCCAAACTGGCTATTTGAGCATTTGAACGTAGCTAGTGTGAAGGAGGAACCGAATTTTAAGTTGGTTTTTTTTTTTCATGATTTTTAATAATATTATATTACCTTTACCATTTTAAAATTATTTTTCATTTAGCAAATGTCTTATCACGCCCAGTTTTGCGTAATATGTAGATGTACAATGAAGACATGAAGAGCATTTGTTATTTCCTGTTTTGCCTATAACACATTTCGCCATCTTCATCGTGCCTAATCAAGTTAACCCTCTCCCCCTCCATCCTTGACTTACTAGCCCTTCTCCCAGTACTTGACTCAGTTGATTGCTCCCTCCTCCTTAAACCTGTTTTGTTTTTGTTTTTGTTTTTTTAAGTTTCAAGTATACAGTACATTGGTTAGGCATTTATATCGTTTATAAAACAATCCTAATTGCTCTTTCTCTCTTCTGGCTCTCCATCTAGCCATTACATTAACACTAACTGCATTCACTATGCAGTGCTCCCCATCCTATGACTATCAACTACTAATTTGTCATTTTTAACCCTTCATCCCTTTCTCCCAGTCCCCATTCCCCTTCCCCTTCACCAGATTTTCCTCTATATCTGTGTTTTTTGATTATAGTTTATTTTTGTCCCTTAGATTCCTCATGTAAATGAAATCATATGGTATTTATCTTTCTCTGACTTATTTCACTCAGCATAACAACATCTAGGTCCATCACACCGCTGAAAATGGTAGGATTTCATTTTAATGGCAGAGTAATATTCCATTGGATATATGAATTTTAAGTTTAGCTGTATGTAAATTAATTTAAATTCAATTACCCATATGTAAATTCAAAAAGCACAGGTCTGAAAGGCTCGTCGCATACTGCTGACAAGCCTGCTTTAAAGTAAACACATATAAAGTTAGTACTAACTCCAACAAGCCAAAACTCCACATGTTCAATACTGTGAATTTAGCAAATTGGAAAACATTACTAAGACACACAGACATACAGTCTAATCTAAACCAAACTAAAACAAACAAAAAAACCCATAAAAGTGGTACCTTTTCTCCATGCTTTATAGTATGAAGTGGAAGCTGGCCAATAACTTTCTTGGTTTCTTTTCTATGGCTCTTAGATAGGAAAAAAATATATATCATAATTGAAAATTTTATGTTAAATCATTATTTTTAAAAAATCATATAAGGACGCTGATAGGAAAAATTAATTTAAAAAGCAAAGTTAAATGATTACAATGGAAATAACTTTAAAAATTACTATATAAGTCTTAATGTATAAAACAGCCAGATATAATTTTAAGAGCTGCTTGATCAAGAATACTTATTTTCAATTTCATGTCTGAAAGAGAACCCAATTCCAATTCTTATGTTTAAATACTGGCAAGAAAGTAGTAAGCCAAGGATGGGGCCACAACATGCCCATCTATAAACACCTAAAAGGTAAGAGGTTTCCTAGTCATAAGATAGATAATGACCCCGAAATGACTGACCACAGCCACAAAGCCAGGAAGTGCAACTTTTCAAGAAACAGAGGTGAGTGTGAAATTTAAAAGGCCTGCCTTTGGGAGCCTCTGGCTCCTCACCTGTCCTCCTCTTAGCTATTACTGAGACAGTGTCTGCAGATAAATGACTTTGAAAGTTGCTCCACAAAGGGAGACAAAAAAGGCCCTCCCACTCTGCTCATCGCCTTGGGGCCCTGGGTTCTCTTTATAAACACAGAACCAGGTCCCCTCAACCTCATGCCTGTCATTCCTTTATATCTGGAAAAGGACAAAGAGGGTATCTGCAGGAGCAAAATGTGCAAAAAGTGACCCAGATTTAAAGGTATCTAATTTCTCACAGAACAGAAAATTTAATACATTCTAACTAAGAACTTATTTTCAGAAAGATCATATTGATGCTTAAATATCAATGAGTGAAAATAAAATTAAGAATAGGGTCCCATATAACTTCAAGCAATATATATAGGAAAACTTACAAAATATCTTTTAAAAAGTAAAGTTAAAAAGAGTCATTCATAATTACCTGACTTCCGAACTGTGAGCCAGTATACAGGAAACGCTGTATATAGTAAAATATTAGCCAGGCTAATGAGATAATCATCATGGTGATGAAGGCAATGGCCACAAACACCACAGACTGCCCACTAATGAACTCCTGTACGTGACGGGTGCCAACCTCTATGGTCATCTTGACAGAAATTCCTTTTTGCACCAGATCCAAAATTTCTTTTCCTTTTGGGTAGCTAACCATAATGACCACTATACTTCCTGTTCCTGTAAGAAAGAACAAAGAAATCAATAAAAAGAACATAAAATAAGATAGTTAAGAGAAACATGAGAACACTATGGCTCATCTATGCATATGTCCAAAAACTTAAGTAAAATGGGTAATTTTTAAGGAAAACATTAGTTACCAAAATTGGTCCCAACAAAGAAAACAGACTGATTACATGAGAAGTAGAACAAATCACTAAGGACTACCTCCCCAAAAATAGGAGCCCCCACTCAGTTTCACAGATGAATTTTACCACCAAACCTTTTAAGGACAACACCAATGATATTTAAATAATTCCACAGCAGATTAAAAAAAAAAAAAAAAAGTTTTAAAATAATTTCTAAGATAATAAAACCAAACATGGTGAAGAAAAACAAAAGAACTATACTGACCAATTTCACTTATAAATGTTAATATAACGTCTAAAGCATGCCCATTACACTCAGGGAGACAATCTGAGGATTTCTATGGTCACTATTATTTCACATTTCTCTGAAGGTATGAGCAGACATAAGACATGCACACACAAAAAAATCATTTCTAAGATAATAAAACCAAACATGGTGAAGAAAAACAAAAGAACTATACTGACCAATTTCACTTATAAATGTTAATATAACGTCTAAAGCATGCCCATTACACTCAGGGAGACAATCTGAGGATTTCTATGGTCACTATTATTTCACATTTCTCTGAAGGTATGAGCAGACATAAGACATGCACACACAAAAAAATCCTATCTATGTATAAATAACCACAAAATATTAATAGGATTTTTAAAATCTTAAAAATGCTGCTTCTAAAAAAAAAAGGCTGCTTCTGAAATTCATTCACTTAGGGGAAATCAAGAATGACTGGGAAAACTTTTTAAACAGTAAAACCTGGACTAGCCTTTACATTTAAAGTAATTAAAACAGTGTGAGAGTAACACAAAAATGATAAGAATAATGAGACAGGGAAAAAAGTCTAGAAATTAGACCCAAATACCTAAAAGAATTTAGTAAAAGATAAAAGAGCAATTTCAAGTCAATGGGGTAAAATGGATTATTAAAAAATAGTGTAGGGGCAACTGGGTTATCATCCAAGGGGGTAAAAAAAAAAAGCTGTATCCCTTCACAACTTATGCCCAAATAAATTCCAACTAAATCAAAGATTTAAATATGTAAGGAAGAGGAAATACAGAAGAGCCAGAGAAACATGGTGGTTTAAAAATAAGTAATATTGAAGAAAAACCGTTCCAAGTACAAAAATCCACCTCAGAATTTCTTTAAAAAAAAAAAAGAAAGAAAAAAAAGAAATTTGACCAACCATATAAAAATGAAAATTTTCTGCATGGTTAAAAGAGCGCAAAAAACAAGGCATCAAGATCATAAAAGCAAATGGCCAATGGAGAAAAATACATGTAACATTAACAAAAACACAAAATTAATTTTCTATTTGAAAAGGAGCAGAAAAACAAAGGAAATGAAGTCAGTTTGCAGAAAAGAAAATACAAATGGGTTTTATTTTTTTAAATAGCAGCGTTAGCGAGATACAATTAACACACCATAAACTTCACCCTTTTAAAGAATACAAGTCAGTGGATTTAGTATAGTCACAGAGGTTATGAAATCATCACCACTATCTAATTCCATAACATTTATCGCCCTCACAAGAAATGCTGTACCTATTAGTGGTCACTCTCCAGAAAATGGATTTTAAACATGAAAAGTCAGGGTACAAAAGAAAACATTATACCTATAAGACAGCAAAGGTCAAAGAGTTTGATACACTATACTAGCAGGCAAGAGTGAGCACAAATCTGCACTCCTCCTGCACACTTCCGGGGAGTGAATTACTACCATCTGGTATGGAGGGCAATGGCTATCAAAAAAATTGTAAACACACACATCTCTCTTGACCCAGAGATTCTACATCCAAGAGCTTAATTGCACAGACATACATATATATGTGAGGTATCTATAAAAATAACAATTGCCAATTTTTCTCCTAAGTTTTTGCTATCACAATATACACGTACAAGAGTAAGAATTTTATAAATCACAGCCATGTATACAGACTGAGGCAGCAGCTGTCAATACTGACAGTGCTCGATAGACAGATGAAAAAAAAATTGTGTGGACAAGAGATCTGTATAGTCACAACACAGACCACATCTGGAAGGCCACCCCCAGAGGCTGGGGACCCTGACCACTTCTGCTAGAGGAGCTTAAAACCTCATGATAGAACTGTTTTGTCATAGAGAAATTTAACTTGTACAAATCCACTGTGGCCCTCGGCCAGTGGGATTTAATCACTGAAACACCAGAAGGGCAGGCACCCTTCTAACGTGGCTCCTGTCTGGAAGCCAATCCTATGATCTGGGCCTAAAAGTGTCACTTAGCAAGAACTGAAGTTGTCTGAGCTCTCACAATCTCCATGTCATCATAGGGAGATGGGATACAGAGTAAGGCATTTCTTGCCTTCAGAAAAATAAACATCTAGTAGCTAAGAAAGACAAGTATAGAAACAATTATGATAGTTATGCCACTAATAATTACATGGCACTTCACAAACTGAAAGCCTTTTTTAATAAACCTCCTCTCTATGGAAATTTTCAGCAACATACTAAAGTAGGAAGACCAGTATAATAAACCCCGTGTACTCGCCTCAGTTAAGAACTTTTATACAGAACACAAAACTGTCTATGCCATGCTTACAGCTACATACCATTTCTGGTACTGATATAACGTCTTCTGTGGCATCATGGGAAAAAACAACTTTGAAGCACTTTCACATTTATTATCTCACTTGAAGCGGAAAGAGGCCACATTATCATTTTACCGATGAGGGCTCTCGGAAGTTTTAAGAGCTGTTAGATATCATATACAACCTGGAAAAGCCACTTCTAGAAGACTGAGCACCTGTGACCTCATGGGGGGACCCTTGAGGCTTCTGAACGCAGACTGGGTTCAAATGTCACTCTATCACCACTGTCCGAGTCTAGAAAATCTGTCCTCACCACAGTATTTCTTCTGCTATAAAATGGAGATGAGAATTTTTCCATTTTGGACACTCACTTGTTTAATAAGAAAGTGGAGTACAAAGAACTGCAGAAATGAAGTGATAATTTTGTCTGTGGTGGAGGCAGGGGGCTCTTTC